TAGTAAGTTTTAGTCAAATCCAGGACAAAAGCATTAGAAAGCAACTCAGAAAGTCATGAGATACTTGAAGAAAACTGATGGTTACATGCTTACATTCCAGCGTTCAAACCACCTTGAGTTGGTAGGTTATTTAGATTCAAATATTGCTCGATGTCAAGATGATTTGAAATCAACCTCAAATTATATTTTCATGTTAGCTGGTGGTACTATCTCTTGGAAAAGTGCTGAACAGACTCTAGTGGCATTTTTTACTATGCATGCTGAATTTGTGGCATGTTATTGGGCTACAATCCAAGTTTGGCTAAGAAATTTCATCTTCGATTTGAAGTTTTTGTCTTTTTTATTCCATCTTGAGACCAATTAGTATTTATTGTGATAATAGCGCAACAGTATTCTTTTAAAGGAATGATAAAAGTTCTGGTAGGTCAAAACATATTGACATCAAATATCTGGTTGTTAGAGATAGAGTCAAGGAAGGACGGACGAATATATAGCATATAAATACAAAAAAAATGATTGCAGATCTTTTGACTAAGGGACTCGTTCCAAGTGTTTTATGGGCATTACGAAAACCTTTAATATTTGGTTAGTGGGAGTTATATCTACTATCTACCACCTCTTAAAAGAGAGGCTTTGATTCTACTATTCATTTATGTCACATAACTTTTCACACTATAGTAAACTTATCCGATTTTGCTACAGTAATATATTCCTGTGACATGCTTTCTTCTCTGGACCACACATATGCTTACGTTTGAGCCCCATTTTAGTTCATTTTTCTACATTTTCCAACATTTTGATATGCTTGTCTTTGCCAGTCAATATTCAATTGGAAGGTTGCCTGCATGCAATTGGCCCGTGGGACCCAGTGGCCTACAACTATTGACTACAGAAAATGGAGTATGTAGGCTTTGAACATTGCCTTTGCCACTGTAAGAGGGAACGCTTATGTTGGATGGACCTAATGAACTTTTGGGAAATTTTGAAGCTCCAAGAACTCGCAGAAGAGATAATGAGGTCATAGCATTAATTCATCACCACTCAATTATTTTATACAATCATTTCATAAACGACTTCTCAATCTTGAATTGTAAAACTTGAAGCAATTGATTGAATCTTGATAATAATCTAGAAATATATTTAATCCTTAGAAAAAACAGCATTCAATGTAATTTAGCCCATTCCCTGTGGAGACCAAAATGCGTAGACAAATTAGCATATCGTTGAGAAATTTTAACACTAACCAACATCACTTCAACTAATTTTTATTAATTCCTCTTTAATATAACATCTAATTAATTGAAGTCCTCCATTGACTTGAAACAAAATAATCAGAACTAAAATTCGAAATATCAATCATGAAAAACTGTGGGTGTAGAATTTGTTATTAGTGACGATTATCGTTATAATTTTTATTGTTTCACTTAAATTTAAAAAATAAAAAATAAATAATCAACTAAAATAATTAATTCTTCAATTTAAAAAAAAATGCTTAGTGAGATGACTGTCAAAAAATTCTTCAGCTGAATAAATTCGTAAACCCAAATAATAAAGACAAGGAAAAGAAGAAGAATTAAGGGGACTTATGAACCAAATAAACAAAACAAACTTCGCTATTAAGAACAAAGATTAATAAATTTTACATCCAAAAAATCATGCTCAAAATTAAGAATCAAACACCACCGAAAATACCATATGCGCTGAGTGTGGCTCAGTTCTTGTAGAAGAATCCATGCAATTGCCTATGATGTGATGCTCTAACAAAGCTAGAACTCTATGTCAGATAAGGATCCGAGAGCTTTCTCGTTTCTTTAACGATTAAGAGAAATTTCCTCCTCTAATGGCCACTGCTAAAATGTGCACCACCCATTTCAATTTCCCCCACCCCTTAAAGAAAAAGGATGCCAACGTGCCTCAGGAAAAAAAGGGGAAAAGTAGGGGGATAATAATTTTATTATGAATTTTTCCGTCAAAAAACAAAAAGAAAAAAAATTGATGTCATACTTTAAAAAAAATAATAAAAAATTATAAGTTGCTCCGCACAACCAGGAGCAAGTGCTCCTGGCTGCCAGGAGACAAAAAAAAAAATAAAAATAAATAGAAAAAAATATAAAAAATAATAATATATATTTTAATTGGACGATTAATATTTTTTGTGCCAACTTTTTTAATATACGCGTTTGATGTACGTTTAACTATTTTTAATATTCATTTATATCATTCAATATGTCTATAATATAGATTTCGAAATGAATTTCGAGAGAATATAAAAGATCTATGCATTTGACTGCCGTACAATCGTCGATAAATTTTTAAAGTTAACTTGTTATCGAAATTCTTAATTTTTTAAATGATATTTCTTTTGAGATTAAAAAAATATTTTTAATTTATTAGGAAATTTTCTAAATTACGTCAAAATTTTTATTAGATTATTTAAAAAATTAATTGATGGAGAGGAAAAAGTAACAGTAAGTAAACTCTGTGTCACGTTATAAGGTAAAATATTCATCTAGATCATTCGATGTGTCTATGATATAGTTCTCGAAATGAGTTTTGATGGAATATAGAAGATATATTTTTTTACAGATGTTGCATAAAGGAATGGGGAATAGTAGGACAATAATAATTTTATTAGGAATTTTTACGTCTAAAAACAAAAAGAAAAAAAATGGTGTCATACTTAAAAAAAATAAAAATAAATAAGTTTTGATAAGTTGCTCCGCAAAAATTAAAAAAAAATTCTTTTTTTAATGGGACGATTAATATTTTTTGTGTCAACCTTTTTAATACACGCGTTTGAGTTACGTTTAACTATTTTCGATATTCATTTAAATCATTTGATGTGTCTATGATATAGATTTTGAAATGAACTTCGAGAGAATATAGTAAAATTATGCATTTGACTACCGTACAATCGTCGATGAATTTTTAAAATTAACTTGTTATTGAAATTCTTAAATTTTTAAATGATGTTTCTTTTGAGATTAAAAAGAATTAAGTTTATTAGAAAATTTTCTAAATGACGTCAAAATTTTTATTAAATTATTTAAAAAATTAATTGGTCGAGAGGAAAAAAGTAACAGTAAGAAAAAAAATTCTACAAATAAACGCTGTGTCACGTTATAAAGTAAAATATAATATGAAATTAAAAATAAAAATAAAAATAAATTATGCTCCGTGCTGCACGGAGCAATTTGGAGCATTTTTGCTCCAAATAGTTTGTAGAAAAATGCTCCAAACTCTTTTTTTCCTATTTTTTTTCTTTTTTTTTTCTTAAATCGTTTGTTCAAGTAGTCCCCTCACAAATAATCAATTTCGAAAAAGTGATGTAAATTATATTGAGAAAGTTATCGTGAAAAAATAATAAACATTAATAAAATAATAATTGTTTTTTATGATGTAAAAATTCCTAATAAAATTATTGCCGCCCTACTTTTCTTTGTTCATTTACGCAACATCTATAAAAATATATTTTTTTTATTTTCTATCGAACTCATTTCGAGAATTATATTATAGACATATCGAATGAGTTAAATGAATATCGAAAATAGTTAAACGTACATCAAACGCGTGTCTTAAAAAAGTTGACAAAAAAAATATTAATCGTCCAATTAAAAAAAAATATTGCCTCC